ATACGGGTCGTATTTCCCTCAATTCCGTGATTGAACATAGCCAAGAAGGGGAAGCAAGCAATCATCACAGCCCCTTAACAACATCATCATCAGAAGCAACACAGAGAGAGGGGAAGATCAAGACAACTATAGTTCATCCAATTTTTATTTTATTTTTTTTGTTTATTTGAAAGGGCTGTTGATGTTTTTGGTAGAAATCACTGGCAAAGCAGAGATGGGCAACCACCCTTCACAGAAAATCCCAATTTCTCCGATGCCTCATTCTTCAGCTTAAACCCGTAATGGGTTATTATTAAGGGCTCAGATTTGTTGTATTTCTTAACAAAACAAAAGAGAAAAGTGACGCCGCCATGGCTGCAGACACCAGTTTGCTATTCAAAGCCTTAACCGGGTCGCCCTGCCAAGATACGGGTCGGATTTTCCTCAATGCCGTGATTGAAGATAGCCCAGAAAGGAAACAATCAATCATCATAGCCCCATTACAACATCAGCATTCAGCAGCATAAAGAGAGGAGAAGGAGAAGGAAAAATAGTATAAATATGTGTGTTTGGAAGAACTAAATATTGCTAATAATGTTTGTTTTTCTTGTTCATCTAAAAGGGTTGTTGGCTTTTTGTTCCATTAATGGAGAAATCACTGGCAAAGCAGAGATAGGCAACCACCCTACTACAGAAAATCCCAAAATTCTCTGTTGCCTCATTCTTCTTCCATTTTTGGCTATGCTCCAATTTGCTGCACCAATTGTGTAAAATAGGGCAAAAATTGAAGATATCTTAATGTTAAAATTAGAAGTTTCAAGCAAATATCAAAGAAGATGGAAATTGGAAGGAAAAGAAAGTCTTGTTCAAGAGGGTCTCCAATTTAGTATTAAATTTATAATTTCAATTTAATAATTAAACTTTAAGTTGTTATGTTAAATACTAAGATTGATGAATTTTGATATAATAATTTCATGTGATTTTATTCTTCACAATTAAAATAATGTCATTTTATTTTGAGTGTTAATATATTTATTTTATCATATTCTACAGTGTTAATATATTTATTTTATCATATTCTACGTAAAAATCGAAGAACCTAATTAAATAATTAATAAAATATAAGTTCATTATCACCTAGAAAATACACATACATGAATGAATATAAGTATAAGTTCGTGAATAAACTCAGAGCCTGTTTGGCTCAGCTTAAAAGCTGGTCAAATTGACTTAAAAGCTGGTTTTTGACTTATTTAGCTGTTTGGCAATACTCAAAACAGCTTATTTTAAGTTAAAAAAAACTTATTTTAAGTCAAAAGCTGGGGTAGGGGTGCTTTTTTATTTTTAGCTTATAAGCTGTTTTAAGTTGACCACATTTTTATCTTTTTGTGCTTAATATTTTTATACAATCTCCAAATTACCCATATAACCCTAACATTTCTTTCTTCCATTTATCCCTTTTCAAGTTTGACATAACAACTTCAGCACTTTTATCGTACTTTTTTAAAGCTGCTTTTATTAAGCCCATCCAAACGGGCCCTCAATGTACAATCCAGTTAATTCAATGAATTCATGACACTAAAAAAAACAAATTGCCATGTGAGTTGCAATACAGTGAAGTTTAAGAGAGAAGAATGGAGGTAAGGTGTTACAGTTGAAATTATCGAAATGAACTCAAACATAATGTAAATGACATTAACCACATATGTTGAACATTTTTATGGGCTCTTCTACGATCAGTAGGAAAGTTCTCTTCTCTTTGAAAATGGAAGCTTAACTTGCATGCTAAACATGACTCTATTTTGTATTTTTCAATTTTTACAGGTAATGCTTAGTAAGAAAAATTGAAATATCAAAACTTAGACCTAAGAACAATAACAAGACCCTAAACCGGTGTGCAAAAGATCAAAAGTTACAGGATCACAATATTTCACTAGACCCTAATTATTTTTACGAGACCACCTGTTCTTTGAATTTTCATCTGCAAAACTTCTCTCATCTATCCATCTAGAACTTCGTTCAGGAGGGCAGTGGCCTCTTGTTGGAGATGAGAAATCTTTACCATAATTGGCTGTAAAACCATGTTTCCGAAAGGGCATTCTCGTTCGACTCATTCTGGCATCAGACCTTATATCCGGAGATCTACTATGCCTTCTTCTGCTGTTGAGGTCTCGTTCTCTCTGTGTATGCCACGAATAGGGAGAAGGTGTTCTAGATCTTGAACGAGATCTCCTCCTCAGCAGTGGAATACGAGCTACTCTACTTGAAGCTGGAGAACCAGTTCTTTCTCCTCTGGGGGGTACATAATGAGGCACGCGTACATCACCAGGCATAAACTCATACCCTTCTTCCCTTGCACCTCTTGCAACCCTCTCAGAGATACTTTCAGCACCATTGCGGCTCCGGTAGGCTCCTCTCACTGCTACCATCCTCCTATGAACATCATAATAGTCATCCCTTTCAACAGATGATCTCCTCCTCAAAGGTGGCCTGCGCGCACCTTCTGAGGGAAAATTTATTGATTGCTGATGATCTCGAGAGCTAAACCCACCTAACTTGTCAGCAGAATTTGCAAAATTGCGATGCCTTGAGTAGTTATCACTCTCAGGGTCACGATAAGCATTTGGGTAGCAATCTCTTGAATTCGAGCTATTCCACTGGCCATTCGTTGCCCTTTTGTCTTGTGAATTATAACCAGACCGATATCTACCAACGAATTTATCTGGACTAACTTCTCTTACAGGCTTATTGTAACAACCAATAAGGTTATGGGGCCTACAAGAATCATCAAGTAAATTATAAGAAAGTAAGACTCAAAGGAAAGAACCATCTTAAGAGGCATCATAGTCAGAAAACAAATATTCACATGCATTGGTGCTAAAATTATCATGTAATTTATAAGAAAGCAAGACTTTATGTAAGACTTCAAGGAAAGAACACTGTAAAGGACTTAGTCTCAGAAACAAAAAACCCACCTATTTTGGTACTTCCGTGCAGCGCTATTCCCATCTGCCGCACCCAAATGTAGGGGTCCTTCAATACGTGACTGTAGCTTCCCTCTGTTTGCCTTTGAACTAATTTCCCCCGTGTATGACCCTCTGAATTCATATGCTGCCATGCGATCAGATGTATGCGCTTTTCTAAAAGCATCTTCTTTTCTTCCAATCTTATCATTGAACCTTAGAGCTGTAGATCTAGATCTAGATCCAGATCCAGGACGCAACCCTTTCTTTCCACCACTATCACCAATGCTATTGTCCTCCCTGTTGAAATGCCTCTTTATAAAGTTTTTTGCAGATCCACTCTTCACAAAATCTACTCCTGCTCTGCTGGTTGACGAGATTCTTTTTTCTGTACTTTGTGAACCATCAGAACCTGCTTCAACCATTTCAGAGGATGGGTAATCACTGGCATCAAAATCCAAGTCAACTCTACCTTCTGAAGCATAATCAACACATTCATCTTCACCATCCTTAATTTCATTGTCCTCCAAAGAATACATAATTGATCCCCTTAGTTCTCCGTCCTCAAATGGAGAATCATAGCCAGCCTCAGTTCTAGTCACATGCTCTCGACTAATAAGTTGACCATGATCTTCATGAGATATATCAGAATTATGGCTTTCTTCAAAAGCCGAAGCACTCCTTGCAAATTGACTAGTGTCATCGATCTGCAATCCCTCATTACAGCTTTTTGAGGAGTCCTTCCCAGAAGTTGTGCATTTTTCCACTTGATTAGATGTTAAGTTATCACTGAACTTAGAAATTACTTCATTCCCTTCTAACTGCATTTGAGAATCAATAGCTAAAATGTTGTCATGTGGATTACTATCAGAACTTTCAACATCCATGACATTCAAAATACTAGTATCAGAAACTTCACTGGTTATAGGATCACTACAGTCAATGTATTTATTAGAGGCGTTCTCACAATCAGGCTTTGCTGGGTATGGGACCTCAGATAAAGCAGCTTTATTAAATCCTGCAGCCTTTACAGAAGACTCTCTAATCTGTGTCAAAACTAGGCCATCAGAAGCATTCGTAATTAATCCATTTGAAACAAGCATGCATGAAGCATTCTCTGATTTAACTAAAGAAGAATCAGCTAATGGTGCATCTCCAGTGACAAGTTCATCAAATGTTTCTCTTTGCGCAGATAAAGAGTCCAAGGCTTTGGTAGAATGGCTAACAATGTTTCCAAACTCACCAGCATTAACTGAGACTGATTCAAGCTTGCATACTTCAGCAAACTCATAAACTGTTGCATTTTGATCAGCAGGCCCAGAAATGGGTTTACAGTATTCGAAACCCCCCTTTTTATCACAAATTTCTATTATGTGTCTCTCATTCTGTGCTCCATCATCTAAGCCATTGGCAAAGGCATTTTCCACAGAAGAATCCTTGGGAGGTTGCACCCATGTTTCAATTGAAGTGTTGAGATCCCAGTGTATTCTGTCGACCTTTGGTGACACTGGTCTACTTACAACTGAAGGTTCTTTAAAGTCAGCAAAACTTTTAAGAGCAACAGCCGATTCATTAACAGTGGAGGACTCCATGTTGCTTCCATGCATCATATCTCCTCTACCAGGATCCGCCAACTCCTTCAGGGCTGATATGTCCTTCGGATGAGGAGTAGACCCAACAAATCCCCCTGGTGCTGCACATGCAACCATAGCATGTGCTTCCTTTGCATTATCAAGGTCACCATCCTTGTAATTAGTGCAAGCAGCATCAGCTAAAAGCACAATTCCCAAGAAGTCTTCTGAATTGTAAAGTTTCCGAGTAGCAATCTTAGAACTTTTAGCATCTACTAATTTATCACTAAGACCAACTTTGCGGGCTGCCTTTCTGTCAAATCTCAATGCACGTCCTCTAGAACGTGGGTCTGAACTCCAATGATCAGATGAATGGCTATAAATCGAAATTTGGTCGGAGTCTTCTGATGGCATAGGAGTTGCTAGACGAGATTGAGGTGATAGTGAATCTTCACAGTCAATAGATGGATTTCGAGATTGCGCCGACGAAGTTTGAACCAAATTCCTTCTTTTCTTAATTGGAACATGTTCAGCTTTATCAGAAGACCAACTGCCAGCTCCATGAATCTGCTAAATATTTAATAGATGCAACAATTAGACATACTAAAAATGGTATTGATAAAATCATTACAAAAGAATCACAAAGTACCTTGTCAGAACCTGAGCCTGAAAAATCTCCAACCCTCTTGGGACTTCTGTTCATCTTCATACCCTCATTGAGGCGTCTAGCAACTGTCCTCCTAGACCGCCTTTTCTTTGTCACAGACTTCCAACTCAGCTCAAGATCTATAGACTTTGCAACTTCCGGACTTACAGTATTAAGCATGTTGCCAGATATGGATCCCATCAACTTACAAACTCCCTCCACAAGTCTTGTGTAACGTCTCAATAGGCTTTTTTCTCTTAATTGAACTCCTCAAATGTCGATTTTAAATTATCAGGACATGTACACAAGCGAGTCTGCACAATTAAAATATTCCACTTAGCATCGTTAAGCTATTTGAGACTCTGCAATTGCAATATTTTCATAAAGTAACAAGACACAAATTACAGGCATACTTTTTAACTAGGTTTACCATAGCCACATTGCTTCATACAAACTCAAAATCAGAAGTGTATCTCATTACACGTATTAATTGGGCAGAGAAAGATTATTAACATAGTTTAATGCTTATTAACTAAAACCAGTTTCAAAATCAGCTGTCATATTGCATAAATATCCGTCAATCTCTTCAACTACTATCTTTCGATTGTAATGTAAAGTGTTCTAGCATTTTCTAGTGACGAGCCCTAATAATAATGCTTACTCATCCCTGCCCTAAAACTTTAATGAGCTAGAGGCATGGATAAACTATCAGGGAGGTCATTAGACTTTTAGAAAAAGTCTATACTCATTCTGTATTAAACTATTAGAACGTCAAGGACTTAAAACAAGAAGCAAAGGGGAGAGGGGGGCAATGTCGCGGTGAAGGTACAGACTCCAATTTTGTCCCATTTGTGCAGGTAAGATGGGAAAAAGGTGAAAGCAGAGAAAAAAGAGAGATTAAGTAGAGATCCTATATATTTAACAAATTACCTTGGATGAAACAGATAGCCTAAGTAGAGCACACAAAGAGTTAAATATATAGCAATGAAGTAGACCCAGAATTGCAACATGGCAGAGCCAGGAATTTGACAAAAGGTGTGTAGTTTTTTTTCTCAGCAGTGTTACAGAAATGCAAAATGATATATTATACTCATAATAGCCAACTAATCTTTGTTCACCACCCTTCCTCTAAAGTTGGCAGAATATGATCTCTAGCATATGAATCTAATCGAGAATCATGAATCTAAAAGAGCTCAGGGCTTTGAAAATGCAGACATTACATATGAATCTAAAAGAGAGGCGGAAGCTCCACCTAAGGTTTTGAAGATGAGTCATTCCAGGAATGGGGCCCCGGGAACAATCTGATGGTTGGCTTAGGTATCTGGGTATTCAATCCCTCCACTGAGATGCTTAGTTGACTCCTCAATCTCTTGTTTAATGAGCTATTTCTGACCTCCCACCACAGATCCTATGCCACCAGAAAGCACTTAAGTCTTCAGCTATTGATTGATATACATGAGGCCAGAAAACATTCATCAAAGATAAGGCTATGGATATGAAAATCCAAATCGAATGGAATTTTGATCAAATCGCAACTTCAATTGCCTCGGTACCAGAGAATCATTATACAGTAGAGAAAACAAAGGCACTTTCGGCCTGATCCTGAATCGCAACTTCAATTGCTTCAGCAATTGATTGATATACACGAGGCCAGAAAAGAATCATCAAAGATAAAACTATGGATTTTTAAACCTTGATCAAATCGCAAATTCAATTGTCGCGGCTCTGGAGAATCATTACAGAGTAGACAAAACAAAGGCAATTCCGGGCTGATTATGAATCTTGAAGCCATTGACAGCTTGAAAAGGAAGTAAATAACCCTAGATTTGTCTTCTAAAACCACAAATCTGGTAGTCCCAAACATTTGTATATTCTCCTCCGATGATTAGTGAAAAACAATGAACAAAAAATCGCAGAAAAGCATTAGCTAGGGTTTTCAATACCTGTTAATTTTCTTCCCAACAAACAAAAATTAAACTCGCCGACAAGTACAGATTCCGCGACGACTTCTTCTACTCAAAACTTGACGATCCTCTTCAGAAAGAATGCGATCTTCGCAGAAACAACTAAAATCTTCAGGTCTCGCTAACAGAAACAATGGTAGATCCTTCTTCTTCTTCTTGATATATTGGTTTAATCATGTGAATAAAGAAAACAAAACAAATCTCAGCCGGAAAACTCGATCGGCGACGCCAATCACTCGCCGGAAACTAGCCTTGCGATAGTCGACGTTTTGTTGTTATTCTTCTTCTCTTCCTCACAAGCCTGGGGAAGATATGACACAAGTTGGAGGAGTAAAACGCCACGTATTTAAGGTTGTCTTTGTGACCAAACTACCCTTGTCTGCGTGCTTAATTTACTCTTCATGCCCCTAGCTGGCTTCCAAAACCTAAAAAGCCCAAACCCTATTATTTTGTTTTCTGAAAATTACCGTCAGCATTGTTCTCTGACGTTTTTGCCCTTCTACCACAGATAAATTACAGTCAAACCTTGATCTTCGCAAATTTAACAAGTTGTTTGGATTCATTTGCAATTGAGTGTCTTAAGCTATACACTACTGATTATTTTTTTTTCTTTTACTATTTCATTGTATTATTAAAAAAAAATTATCGTATTCACGATTAAGTTCAAAAAAATCGTTTCACAATTTTATTTATTGGTGATATACACATAAATTAATCTACAGTAAATTTTTATTACTATTGAGAAAATATATATTCAACGATTTATGAAAATATCACATTTTATTACTACAAGATATCATTTACACAGACGGACTCACATTTAAAGTTAAGTTCATATACACTCATTAACTTTTTTTAAAAAACGTGTACATATAATATGTATATCTATCTTGAAAAACTGAAAGAAATTATGATATAATTAATAGTACATCTGTGAGGAGTATAGGAGTGTTGTTGATGCAAGTATAAGATATCACTTGCGTGACCAAGATCCGAATTTTCATCATTATATATCTTGTCAAACTAATGCGTGTTAATCATATAATATTACTTGATCATAATATAATTTTGTGTAAATAATATAAGTAATTATACTTAATCCTCAAGTGAGATGAGAGTTGTTGATAATTACATTATAGATAATGTAACATTTCAATTTACATTTTTCCTTTTCAAATATAATAAAAGGGTGAAAATATTTCAAACAATTTTAGGTTTAATTTTGCGACGTCATTTAATTTATTTATTTTTCAATTCGAATTGTCATCAATATAGAATATTATGAATGGTCACATAATATTCAATGAGCTTTTGACCCTTAAAATCACTTATGTATAAAATAAAATAATGAACAGAAGAAATGATGTTACAAAATTTTCATATATTTATTTATCGATCTCATGTGTTATAGTTTATCAAACTCATATATAATTGATTACAAAGATAAAATAAATGCATCCAAAATTCAATCTTCCTAAAAAAATAATTCTTAGTTTAACTTAAAATGTACATTCATGTATTGTCTATATAACAAAAAATTATTCTTTCCAAAGAAAATGATAAAAAAAATTGTCTTTTTTTATATATTATATTTTTTCATAAAAGAAAACAATGTTATGGACAAACTTTTAGAGGTGAAAATCTATCTTTTTATTGAAGATAAAATTTATGTGATTCTTGATTTTTGACCTAGTCTTGTTGTTATGAGAACTTTTGTGAAAAGATTGGACATGTGTGGCTGTGAATGGATGATATTATTAACTTCATGAACTTGGCCAAGACTATTTCTACCCTCCTATTATTGATGTTGATTTCAGTGTATATGATATGTTTGAATTGATTCAAAATATGTAAAAAGTTGAGAATTTGTGATTAAATACATCTTAACATTTTTGTAAAAAAGTATTAAAGATAAAATGAAAAAAGTGAAATTATTATTAGGGATGTCCACGGTTTGGAAAAAAATCAATTCAAATCGAAAAATCAAATCAAGCAGGTAAAATAAAAATAATTTTATTTTGATTTGGTTTGTTTTGGTTTTCGATTTTTAAAATTCGATAATATTTAATTTGGTTATGATTTTATTCGAAAAAAAAAACGAAGAAATAATCAAATTACATACTTATATTTTATTAATATACATACTTAATATATAAACAATTTTAAAGATCGTATATATGTTTTCATTTAAATTTCTTTATACTTTACTTATTGAAATCAAAATGTCCAAGGTGAAAACAATTATTTTATTGATTTCATGTATATGAGTGTTTATGACAATTCTTTGTGGGACTGAAGATGTTATTGCATCTTTCTTCTAAATGTGGTGAATTTTTAAGCTTTATTGATAGAAAATCCAGTGATTAAAAGTTCGGTAATTTAAGTCCTTTTGAACTATTTTTCACTTTGAATGAATTGTTGTCACTTTTTCACATTTTAAATGAGTTTTTTTTTTGTGTGTGTGTGTATGGTCAATAATCGAACCAAACCAAACGAAACTGATAACCACCAAACCGATAAATGTATGTAGTATTTTGTTTGGTTTTGATAATTTTAAAATCGATTGAGTTGATTTGATTTTGATTCTGACCTATAACCGATCCAAATCGATCCGTGAATGTAGTGATGATGAATTAGAGTCACAAGAATTTCTAACAAGTTTGCCAACACACTAGGATATCACTTGCGATACGATGTGACAATTAGAATTGAATTTTAAATGAGAAAACAGATATTATTAGATTGCATATGAGAACTAATTGAAATAGATTCCTTCCTAGATTGTGGCTGCGTAAGATTAGTTACTCATCTAATATTTGTAACAAATATTAGTTTTACATATGAGAACTTATTGAATCAAAACCTTTCCTAAAAGATGGTTGCGTAGATTAGTTATTCCAAGAATATTTGTATATTGTAACTTCTAAATTATAAATTGCAATTAGATTTTATTGAATAAATTTGACAAACTTTATTTAAGTCTTTCTTTATACAATTATTGTCTTTCATTTTAATTTTAATATATACAATTATACATACATATGTAAATATATACTAAACTAATTTAAGATGCTTAATTTAAAAATTGAAATTTGAAATTTGAAATTTCAAGTTTAAATTACTTTAAAATATTTAAAATACAAATTTAAACTTCTCAAATTTGAAACATGAAGCTTGAAATTTGAAACTTGAAAATATAATTTGAAATTTGAATCTTGAAATTGGAAAATTTAATTTGAAATTTGAAAGTTAAAAGTTAAATTTAAAATTTATTAGCTAAAAACATATAATTTCAATACAAATAAATAAATATTTTTAAAATAGAAAATTCCCCGTCCCGTCTGTCCCGCTAAACCGCGTCCCATCCTGTCTATAGTTGGTCGGGATGGGACATATTTTTGTCCTCCCAATCCAGTGACCGGCTAAATCCTCGAATCGCCGTCCCCCTTCGTCCCGTCCCCCATCCCTGTCCCCTTTCCCTTGCCAGCCTCTTTCCTCTTTCTGGTGATATTTTAATTTCAATTTTTCACGTGGTATGTTTAACGCCGCAAAAGATTAATGAACAATTTTGTACATTTTGACTTAACTTTAATTTAGGATCACAAGATTAAAAAGTCTTATTTATTTTCTTAAACTCTGTGGCAAGTCAAACCATATCACTTTTTTTTGAAACGGTAAGAGTACTCCGTCCATTTTTATTTGTCATATTGCATTTTCTGAAAGATAATTTGACTAATTTTTAAAGTTAAATTAGATACATTTATTCAATATTTTAAACAAAAATTGTATATTCAAAAAACATACGAAATATACTATAAAGTATAACTTTTTAGCATATGAAAAAATATATCATAAAATATTAATAGTCAAAGTTCTTATAGTTTGACACTAAAAAATAAAATCACGACAATTAAAAGTGAACCAAAAAATACCTACTTTTTTGACTTTTTTTTTTTATAGAAAATACCTAAATGTGAGGGTTCAAAAACACTTTTTATTTGTTTCCATACCCCTCAAAGACTAAAAACTATTTAAAAGTACAAATCACCTAAAAATAAGTTAATTCAAATGGATATTATTTGGGCTTACATATAACTAAATCATAAATTAGTTATGCATCCTACATGGTATTGATATTATATAATGTATTACTAATACATTTCACTTAGAACAGGGGTGATTCGACCGTCTTAAAAAAAAAGACATGTGCCTTAGACCCCTAAATTTAAGGGCCTATAATAATAGGTTATAAGTTATTATTTTTTAACAAATATTGAATACTATTTGTAGAAAAAATAAACATTTCATAAAAAATGAAGGGATTATTAGAAGACATATTTTGAGTACTGTATCTTATGAAAAATAATTTAAAATAAGAATGGTTATATTATGAGGTTAAGACTAGAAGAAATTAATTATATAAAAGTTATTAACAATTTAAGTTTAATGCCCCGTTTGATTTTTGTTTTAGGCCACTAATACGCTTGAGCCGCTCCTGACTTAGAGGTATTAATAATGCATAAAATCTATATCACGAGATAAGTCTATATAATTATTTATATTTTGAATAATTTATAAAACTACATACATATTAAAATTACAACTTGCAATTTTTATGTATAAATGTAGATGTTTCTTTCAATTTTATTATTGTTTATCGTATTTTTAGTTTTAAAAGTAGATGATTCATCTTTTTAAAAATAAAAGTTGACATTTTATGAGTGATCAATTTATTAAGATAACAATTATTTATCCTCAAATAATTCAAGTGAAAAAATAGCTAATATAACAACAAAATTGTATTTTTTTCCTAGCTAGTCATTAAGAAGACCATAGAAAAATAATATTTTCGGCAAATATCTATTCTGATCCAATTGCATAATAATTCAAGGGCATAATTGAAAAGAAACTTATTATCAAATTTTAATCTAAACACAAAATGAGGTGGAAAACAATGAACCAAATACCAATCAATGTACTATTAATCTCTGCGTTGTTTAATCCTTGCGTAATCAATCTTTGTACCCAATAATATTAATTTCATATTTTAAATTTAAATTCTTGACCTTAAATTAAAGAAAAAAGAATCGTATTCCTTTTGCCAAAACTACATCTACATATTTTGTGACAATATTACATTTATTTTTTCAATTTAGTACCAATCCGTTGAACTACTTCAATTTTTTTTTTTAAATAAAAAACATTAAAAAGAGTATGCCCACAACCCAACATGATAAAGGTGGAAATTTTGTTTGATTCAAATTTCAAACAAATTTTTCCACTTCCCGCCACTACATATATTCTTTGCGCGCACGGCCTAAAAAA